CATGCCTATTCCTGCTGAGCGGAGAGAAAGATGTTGTTCTTGCTTATCACCAAAAGTTCCCACCAATAACCTACATCTGGATTTACACTCTGTATGTGGAACTCTTTCCAAGCAGATCCCCTCTGCCTCAGTAGAGGCCCCAGAAATAAAGCAGCCCCAAATCTAGAAAGCAAGTGCTTCCTGGTCTGTAATTCACTTATCTGGACCCAAGAAGAGTCTAATTCAGACCTACGCCTGGCACTCTCTGGATGGGCGACTTGTCCCTGTTCGCAGAATCACAGGACTGTAACAGTACATGTAGTAGTAGTGAACGTCGCTCAGTCGTGTCCGATTCTTTGTGACCCCAGGGACTGTAACCCACCAGGCTCCACTGTCCATGGGATTTCTCAGGCAAGAATACTAGAGTGGGTAGCCATTCCCTTCTCCAGGGGATCTTCCCGACCCAGAGATACAACGTGGGTCTCCTGCTTTGCAGGCAGTTTCTTTACCACTGAGCCACCAGAGAAGCCTTACAAGCTCTTGTCAACCTAGCTCCTCATTTTTCAGTTGAGGAGCCTGAGAGTGACTTGCCCAGACTCACACCAGAAGCTGGCATCAGAGCTGCACTAGACTCCTGGTTCCCTTCCATGCCCCCTACCCGCCTCTTCTATCGCTGATTCAGGTTTAACCTCATTCCCCTGCCAGGGACTTTGATACCAGTGAGGGCCAGGCGGCCAGGGCTGCCCACAGCTCCCGGCTGGGCATACTGGAGACGCCCAGCTCTGCCCCGCTCTCTCCTTGTTCACTGTGGCTCACACACCCTCCTCGTCTCCTCTTTCTGCCCATGGACAACTTTTCCTCGAACTGCAAACACCACCCTGAAACCCCCTCGTAGCCACAGGGGCCTGGAGCAGGAGTGAGGAAGGCTCAGGAGAACAGGGAAAGCAAACTCAGTGACTCCAGGGTTGTGGAGGACCTAAATATGCCTGGACCTGGGGGGTTTGTTTCCCCTAAAACCTGAGCTGCTCAGAGAAGGAAGTCACTCTGCTGCTCAGCCTTTCTGTCCCTTGAGGCCATCAGTCAGAGCTGGGAAGGCCTTCCTTTCCGACTGCTCTCACCTACACACTGGAGAAGACCCTGAAGACTGAGGGCAGGAGGAGAAGGGGACGACAGAGGATGAGACGGCTGGATGGCATCACCGACTCGATGGACTTGAACCTGCGCAAACTCCGGGAGATGCTGAGGGACAGGGAGGCCTGGCGTGCTGCCATCCACGGGGTTGCAAAGAGTCGGACACAACTGAGCGACTGAACAGCAACGTGCTTCTGTGGGTTAAGCATCCACAATCCTCCTTCAAAGTGAGTCCTCTGACGAGTAATGGTTCCTCAGACACCCTTTGGTATATTAGTCAGTCAGACTGATTCTCCAGCAAGAAGAAAGCAAAACAGCAGGAATCTTGCTTCCCACCGACCTCCAGTGACAACGCCATCGAGTCTGGGGGTGCTGTTTCCTGTCCACTGGGGGCCCGCAGGTCTGAGTAGGGCAGAGAAAAGGGAGGTAAGGGGTCTCTGAGGACAAGCTTCCCTTCTGGGAACACCTGCTCAGACATAGTCTCCAGCAGGCAGGATGGTGGACACGGCCTGGCGTCTGGACAGTGGTGACCATAGAGGGGCAAGACCCCTTCTGTGAGCTGGCTTTTCTTCTTAAACTCACCGACCCTTCTGTGCGGTCAGTGGCACTCTCTGAGCTATTTCCTCCTGCTTCAGTGACATTCTAAAAACTCCCTTTCCTGATACAAGCTTGAGTTAATGAAATGTGGAGCGTTTGCGTTGGGCTGTGTTACAGGGTGCTTTGTGATATCAAGTGTCTGAGATAAAGACACCTTTGAAGTCACCCATCTGAGTAGTTTCATAAAGGATGTCACAACCACCCTGACACCAACCAATCTTATCTTCCTAGAGTGTTGTTATGTGTGTAGCTTGGTGGAGTTTCGTTATATTTATAATTATTCTTTTCACCTTTCCACAATGGCCTTTGGATAAAAATCACATTACCTTCTTGGGTTTCTTGTTCCTGGCTTGACTGCCAAATCTATGGCACTTTATTGATGTTTCCTAATTTTTAATCATTGTGAGGTTTGTGTAATCTGAGACTTGAGGAAATCTGGTGTTAATAATACCTTATATTCCATTATTAAAAACGCCATCTCTGAGGTCACATGTGACTACTTAGTCCCCAAACTTGAAGGGTCTTCCCTTTCCCTGTCAACTGGTGGTTGAAAATGACAAAAAATCCAAAGGAAACCTGCCGAAGCAAACACTGGAGAGTCTGAAAAGAGGGGTCATCAGACACGGTTGGTTTCAGGAGTGGCAGCGCGTCATAAGAACGCAGCCCCTCTCCATCTCTCCTTCCTGTTGTCTCTGTTGGCTTGTTCGTAGGAATATTCCCTGTTGTAGTTTACTCCCTCCAGGATTCAAGTCCAACAGGAAAGAAAAAGCTTCCCCTCTGCTCAACAAAAACAAGTTGGGGTCTGCTTTCACTGAGCACAGTCAGTCTTCTTGGGACCCACATCATCTCTGAGCACATCACTGTGGCTGTGATGACATCCTGCTGTGATCGGGAGCGCTGAGGTAAGTGGGTCAGTCCCAGAGCCCAAGGTGCCACCAGTTCCACCAAGACAAGTGTTCTGAGCATGCACGCGGAGGATATCCTGCCAAAGAAACTCCACCGACTACTGGCAGGAGGAGGATGAGAATAGATGGCGGAAGAGCGCACGTCAGTCTCTCTCCACCACTTCTTTACAAGGGCCCTTGATCCTGGTGCCCTTGAAAATCCTGCATTGCTGTCTTCCCTCACACAGGGCTCCCTGAACTCCCTTCTCTCTGACTGTCCCTTTTGGCCCCCTCTTGTCCAACCCTAAGGCCTCAGCTTAACCACATGGGGCTCAGACTCAACGTGCCATCATCTCCTCTGTGCCTTTACCTAGCTTGTTCCTTCACCTAGAAAGCCATCCCTCTCCCCACCCCTCCTCTCTCCACATTCATGTCCTCTATGCTAGAGTTCAGGCTTCCCTGGTAGCTCAGCTGGTAGAGTCTGCTTGCAATGTAGGAGAGCCCAGTTTGATTCCTGGGTCAGGAAGATCCCCTGGAGAAGGAATAGGCTACCCACTCCAGTATTCTTCAGCTTCCCTGGTGATTCAGATGGTAAAGAATCCGCCTGCGACACGGGAGACCTGGGTTTGATCCCTGGGTTGGGAAAAGCCCCAGGAGGAGGGCGTGGCAACCCACTCTAGTATTCTTAACTGGAGAATCCCCATGGACAGAGGAACCTGGTGGGCTACAGCCCATGAGGTCACTAAGAGTCGGACTGACTGAGCGACTAAGCACACGCCCGAAATCAAATATTCTTTGTGAATCATCCATCTCTAATTTTCAAGGCAGAAATAAACTTTCCCTTTCCTCTAAACTCATATACATACCCTCTCTCAAAAGTAGAAACTTCTGGTTTATGTAGTTATAAATTGAAATATGTATGTGTGTTACTGTTGTCTCTTAGTTCCCTGAGGGTGAGGATGTCATTTATCGTTGTTCCTCACATAATTAAGAATATGTAAAAAGAAATACAGATCAAGTGGGTCTTCCAGGCATGGGTATTTTCATTGTTGCAGAGATGTCTGTCTGTCTCCCTTCCTCCCTCCTTCTGCCTCTGTCTGTGTTTTGGTACAGATGCATTTTTCATAAAGAGAAGAGATGAGGTGAATTTCTTTCCCAAAAGTGCCTTTTCTTATAAAGGAAAGCAAATATCCCTCGCCTTTAAAACTACCTCCATGAAAGGGAAACCCTCCTACACTCCATGAAAAGGAAACCCTCCTTACATTCCTACCAAGAATTTAAACTGATACTGCCACTATGGAGAACAGTATGGAGGTTCCTTGAAAAACTAAAAATAGAGCTACCATATGATCCAGCAATCCCACTCCTGGGCATACAGCCAGAGAAAACCATAATTCAAAAAGATAGATGTACCCCCAATTCATTGCAACACTATTTACAACAGCCAGGGCATGGAAGCCACCTAAACATCCACCAACAGAAGAATGGATAAAGAAGATGTGACATATACATATATACGATGGAATACTACTCAGCCATAAAAAATGCAGCAATATGGATGGATCTAGAGATTGTCACACTGAGTGAAGTCGGAGAAAGACAAACATATGATATCACTAATATGTGGAATCTAAAAAAAAAAAAGCTACAAATGAACTTATTAACAAAACAGAAAGGGACTCACAGACTTAGAAAATAAACAGAGTTACCAAAGTGGGGAGGGAGGATCAGAAGACTGGGATTAACATATACACACCGTTATATATAAAACAGACAATCAAGAAGAACCTACTGTATAGCACAGAGAACTCTATGCAGTACCGTGTAATGAATCTAAAAGCGTGGATACATGTATAACTGACTCACTTCGCTGTAGAGCAGAAAGTAACACAACATTGTAAATATCTCTTTTCCTCTAAATTTATTTTTATTAGTTGGAGGCTAATTACTTTACAATATTGTAGTGGTTTTTGCCATACATTGACATGAATCAGCCATGGACTGACATGTGTTCCCTATCCTGAACCCCCCTCCCACTTCCCTCCCCATTGTAAATATCTTACACTCCAATAAAAGTTCATATAAATATGTTAATATAAACAACTTTAATATTAAATAAATGTATCCAATAAAAGTTCATAAACTTTTAAAAATAAATGAATAAAACTACCCTCAAGATGTTTCCCTTCTAATGACCAAGACCTCCACGTAGAGCAGGATTCGGAGCAGCAGAGTCTGAGTTGCACTGACCTTTGGTTGCACTCCCATCCTTTGGGTGCAGGCCCATGGTGGTTGGAGGTGGATACGCCCCTTCTCCCCGCCCTACCCCGTCCTGCGGCCGAGTTGATAAACGCGGACGCGGGGCCCTGGGGCTGTCCCCGGACACCGAGGAGGAACGCGCCCCTCGCCATGGCTGCGCGGTCGCTCCTGCTGATCCGCGGGGGGCGCGTGGTCAACGACGACTCCTCGCAGGAGGCCGACGTGCTGGTGGAGGACGGCGTGGTGCGGGCGGTGGGGCGCCACCTGCTGCCGCCCGGGGACGCGCCCGCCGGGCTGCGGGTCCTCGACGCCGCCGGCAAGCTGGTCCTGCCCGGCGGCATCGACACGCACACACACATGCAGTTCCCCTTCATGGGCTCGCGCTCCGTGGACGACTTCCATCTGGGCACCAAGGTACCCGGCCCCCGCGCGCCCTTACACCCCGGACGCCCGCCCAGTCCTCGGCCGCCTCTCCGGCGGTCCCCGGACCGGGAGGAGAGAGCCGGGGCGACCCCGCCGGATGCGGGCCCCCACGCTGAGCTCCTTTCTTCTGGGTGGTCCTCCTCGGGGGGCATCAGCTCTGCTTCGGCCGAACCAGACGCCCCCCTGCGCCTCTCTTTGGGTAATCTGACTCGTTTAAGGCAACCTATCCCCTCACCCTCGTTTCTCTACCCCCCTCCCCGGAACCCCTCCTTTCACTGGGTGTTCTGTGAAACTCCGAAAGTCCTCCTCAATACCTAGACTCTTTGTAGTCGACGCTCTCAGCCAAAACCAAATGAAAAATCCATTCACCCAGTAGTTACCGCCTTGCCTCAAAAGTTAGCAGCGCACGGCGGGTGATGGTGATGAGCCCACCACATCCACAATCGTTGCTGCCACCCTCCAGCAGAAAAGGTATTCATGCAAGGCCGACGAGGGTTTCCAAGAGCGCTGTTGCAGAAACGGTCTCCCGGCGATAGCTCTCGACCTGACCCCACCCCTTCTCCTACCTGCTTGCCTGGGGACTTGGAATTCAGACCCGGATTCTTGCTGATTGAGCACCTGCGGCTTTCCCAGAGGGGTAGAAGGATCAGATTACAGATCTCCCCAGGTGAGGGAGGACTGGGTTTCTCTAAACACAAAGGCCTAAAGACTCAGCCTGTGAAAAGAACTGAAACGAATCTCCAAATCTTCCGAAAGAAAAAAATAAATAAAAATTAGAAGATGAACAGGGCAGCTTATAGGAACCTGCAGTTAAAACTGCACGCAGCCACTTTGCCTGGAGCCTGACCTGCACCCTTCTTGAGGCTCCCGTTGGGGCTGTGGTGGGACAGCCAGCTCCTTGCAAAATGCAAGTAGTGATATCCTGAAGGTCTGAGCTGTCTTTGCGGGTTTTTTCTCATTGACCATGCTCTGATGTGTATGAAGCAAATCGGGCCGTTTAGTCCAAGTACAGGCTGTGCGGTTTCAAAGCAGTTTTGAGGATTTATCCGTTACCCTACCGATTTCTAACAGCTTTACTCTCACTACACCTCTCTTCCTCCATGTTCCCAATCCTCTATAATTGACCAAAATGTTTAAGAAAAAAAGGACTATCTGACCCAGAGAGAAGGTCTGGGGCAGGCTGCTGACACCAACATTTGCAAAGCTTCCTCCTAGTTACTAATTATCAGGACAATGGTCAAGGTCTTTTATAGGAAAGATCAGTATCTGTTGAAGAGTATTCACTTTTCTCTTTTGCTAAAACGTGAAATTTGCTAAATTTCAACAACTTTATTTATGTTGACATGTAAAATACATTTTTTCAGATATCCAATCAAAATACACGATTGTAGAAAGTTGGGGGGAAAAAAATAGAAAAACAGAAAGAGGAACAGTATTACCCATAATTTCTCACTTGGTGACAATGTTGTGGTTTAATGTCTTTATGGTTTTCGTATGCTTTATTTTACATAACTGAGGTGGTATTGTGCATGTGTGTACCTGTATATAGAAATCATGGAACCTGTTGTATTCAGTTATCGTACATGCACTTTCTGTTGTCACGGACACATCATTCACTCGGTGCATTGCTGATGGCAGGGCATTTCATTGACACCCCCATTTACCAAGTAGGGAGCTGCTGTTGCTGATCATCAGTCAGTCACTAGGCCCACTAGCATCATTCCCCTTCATTATTTCCCTTTCTCTCATCCCAGATGAAGCAGCCAAGAAGGGTTAGAATGCTGTGGGGAAGGGACGTTCCTTCTCTCAAGATGATTGGTGCATGCCCAAAGATCTAGGGAGGTGGTTCTCAGTTTTCTACATGTTCTTGTCCATTCTGGGATTCCAGTTTGGAGAGGTTTACGATTCCATTACGGTAAAGAATCTGCCTGCAATGTGGGAGACCTGGGTTTGAAAGATTCCCTGAAGAAGGGAAAGGCTACCCACTCCAGTATTCTGGCCTGGAGAATTCCATGGACTGTATAGTCCATGGGGTCACAAAGAGTCGGACACGACTGAATGACTTGCACTTTCACGTCACTTCACGATTCCATACTTAGAAGACAACTTTTTGTAGCATATTATTTAAAGAACTTTCTGGTTGATTCTCTAGGCATTTCTCACTTAAAGGTTGTCAAAACATTAAAGGAAAACATGTTTTTCATGAGCTTAGAATTGAGAGCAGAAAACGATATGGTCAGAGATAAGGTCAAAGATTGAGCAAAGACCAAATGCATGTTGAACATTAAACAGTACTCACAAAAGGGCAAAGTTGCAAAAGTTTACTTCAAAATCAGTTGGTTGGATCCCAGGAGATACCAACCCTTCTACCCCCACTCCCTAAACAGATGAGACTCCATAACAGGGAACCAGACAAGTAAATATAAATAAACATGAGCATTAAAGTATTGGCCTGAGTTCTGAAAGAAGGCCATCATGAAGTTATTTTGTCCTCTTTTCTAGAGTCTTCACGATAATTCCCAGTGCAGGGTTGGTGGTTTTGGATTTGGGGAAATAGGGACAGAGAAGTCTTTTGTAAATGCTGGTCATATTTTATACTAAACTTGAAAGACATGAGTACTGTTGAACAGCCTTTGCTTCATCAAGTCTGTGCTATGTTTTAGGCGCTGTGCTTTGTCTTCCAACCATCCCAGGTGCCACTGTCTACCCTTTGCAGTTAAAGAAGCTGAAATGTAAGTCACGTGGCCATGGTTGCACACCTAGTAAGTGGCAGAGTCGTTCTTCAAATTCAGGACCACCTGCCTTCTATACTAGGTTCTCTTCCTTTCTGAAATGATGATGTTTTAAAAAATCTAATGTTTAGATTCACCAAAGTGGCCATAGGTAGATGAAAAACCTATATAAGTAAGGGGTATGTTACTGTGAGATGGCTTTTGTCAAAGACAGAGCAAAGTCAACCTTAAGATATACAGTAGCCCTTCACCTTCCCAGTGCTGGAGACAGTTAAGTTTGTCAAAATAAATATACACTGCAGGGAGTGCGTTTGTGAGACATTTGTACCTGCATTTATAGCCACATCATCTCTAAGGGCACAGAAATGGGTACCTTAAGTACAGAAAGCCATAAAGTAAGAATGATATATCATGCTTTCAGGAAATGGGCCCCAAAAGGTTAGACCAGTGTGTGCTTCCTGCAAGCACCAGGCTTATCATTTATAATATCTGACAAATAGGAGGGATACTGTTTGTGGTGTTCTATGTATTGATCACTAGGTTGTGATGGAGCCAAATTTAAAAACTGAAATATAGGTCAACCAAAGGTTGCATATGTTGGAAATCTAATTCATGTCAGAGGTAGGTTTAAAGCTTATAATTGATTTACTTAACTACAGGTAAAAGCCTTCCTTCCGATATAACTAATGGTAATAGCATCCTGCTTTAAAGAAACCACATTTCATTTTGTTATTCTGTACTAGATATACAGTAGTCTTCCAATAATTTAATATCTGTTGTGAAAGACAATGGGATTCTTTATTCAAATGGGTATTGTAAATTAGATAAACTTGAAGGAATTATGACTGCTTTTACAACATCCTGTGACAAGAAAGTGAATTAAAAGAACTCAGTCAGTTTTCAAATATATATATATTTGTATTCAGACACAGACACAGCTTGGAGTGGGTGAACTCACATGAAAAACCTGGCAGCATCTGTAGCTGGCAAAAAAATCATTTTTTTTTTTAAATTGAGGGAATGCAGAACACCTTTTATGTGAAGGACAAAAAGTCCTCAAAATTATCAAGAGAGAAAATTATACTTTGCTCTGGAACTTTTTGGTAAAATGCCATGACGGTGATTACTTATAATAAGGGAGTGGAAGGTATATGATTAAGCACACGGTTGTATTTATAGAGCTTCCTCACCTTGTAGAAGAGCTGTGATTCAGAGAGTTTGGTTGCAAACCAAACCTCTTTTTTTGTTGCCTCTTTTTCGGTGCTCCAGGATGGGTTTCAGAAGGAGTGCGGGCTGACTCTGTGACCTTGGGCAAGTCAGTTCCTCTCTGGGTGTTGTTAGTGTTTCCTTATCTGTAAAACAAGTCAATAATAGTGAGAACATCTTCAATTAAACAAAGCTTTTAAGTAGTGAAAAATATATATTCATCATTCAGGAAAAGGCTGGAAATTATAGTCGCTTAATATATGTGAGTTGAATGAAGAAACTGCTCTTTAAAAAAAAATAAAAGGATAATACAGAAGAGTATAAAGAAAAATAATAGCTAGATCGCCTACAGTTTCAACATTTTGCTTTTAACATTTTCATTTCAGATTTTTCTTTTTTGAGAGGGACATATAAACTTTTTTCCTTGTACTAAATTGTGCGTGTGCTTTGGAATCAGCCTTATTCATGAAACCTTTCCCCAGGATCTTCGCTGTTGTCAGAGAACATGATTTCTGTGTCCTGTTGTCTTGTCCAAGACTGAGTCCCAGATTTTTCTCTCTGGTCCTGTATCTCTTCCACATCAGGCTTCCATTTCTGCCCATCTGAATATGTCCCGTAAGCGCCTCAGACTTCAAGTCCTCAAATGTATGCTTCTCTTCTGGTGCTTGATCTGTTTTTCTTCCTCTGTTTCCCCTACTGTTAATACCTCCACTCTCACCGTGTTCATGTGGGACGTTTTGGTGGCATCCAGCTTTTTTTGGCTTGTGTATAACAGTATGACATAATTCATCGCTCAAATGCTTGATAATTGACATGGAAATCACCCCTCAGGGTGAAATGCCTGGCCGGCATTGGACCCATCTTAAAAGAGTCTAACACATACATCCAGATTGCCTTTCAGTTTATGCCCCAATCCCCACCCACCTCCACAGCAATACATCCTAATCCCCATCTCACTGCATCCTAGCTAATTGTGGATGTTGACTTTTTAAAAATTGATGCTAATTTAATAGGAAAAGCATAGAATTTCTTACTGTTTTTAAACAAGCATTT